TGTAACAAACAATTATGTGTCTGTATTGTACGTGTAATATGTAACTAACAATTATGTGTCTGTATTGTACGTGTAATATGTAACAAACAATAATGTGTCTGTATTGTACGTGTAATATGTAACAAACAATTATGTGTCTGTATTGTATGTGTAATATGTAATATGTAACAAACAATTATGTGTCTGTATTGTACGTGTAATATGTAACAAACAATAATGTGTCTGTATTGTACGTGTAATATGTAAGAAACAATAATGTGTCTGTATTGTACGTGTAATATGTGACAAACAATTATGTGTCTGTATTGTATGTGTAATATGTAATATGTAACAAACAATTATGTGTCTGTATTGTACGTGTAATATGTAAGAAACAATTATGTGTCTGTATTGTACGTGTAATATGTAACAAACAATTATGTGTCTGTATTGTACGTGTAATATGTAGCAAACAATTATGTGTCTGTATTGTACGTGTAATATGTAGCAAACAATTATGTGTCTGTATTGTACGTGTAATATGTACAAACAATTATGCGTCTGTATTGTACGTGTAATATGTACAAACAATTATGTGTCTGTATTGTACGTGTAATATGTAACAAACAATTATGTGTCTGTACTTGTACGTGTAATATGTAACAAACAATTATGTGTCTGTATTGACGTGTAATATGTAAAAAACAATTATGTGTCTGTATTGTACGTGTAATATGTAAAAAACAATTGTGTCTATATTGTACGTGTAATATGTAACAAACAATTATGTGTCTGTATTGTACGTGTAATATGTAACTAACAATTATGTGTCTGTATTGTACGTGTAATATGTAACAAACAATAATGTGTCTGTATTGTACGTGTAATATGTAAAAAAACAATTATGTGTCTGTATTGTATGTGTAATATGTAACAAACAATTATGTGTCTGTATTGTACGTGTAATATGTAACAAACAATTATGTGTTTGTATTGTACGTGTAATATGTAACAAACAATTATGCGTCTGTATTGTACGTGTAATATGTAAGAAACAATTATGTGTCTGTATTGTACGTGTAATATGTAACAGACAATTATGTGTCTGTATTGTACGTGTAATATGTAACAAACAATTATGTGTCTGTATTGTACGTGTAATATGTAACAAACAATTATGCGTCTGTATTGTACGTGTAATATGTAAGAAACAATTATGTGTCTGTATTGTACGTGTAATATGTAACAAACAGTTGTGTGTTTGTATCGTACGTGTAATATGTAACAAACAATTATGTGTCTGTATTGTATGTGTAATATGTAACTAGCAGTTATGGAATTGTATTAATCATATGTAATGGGTCTCCACTTTCACAAACACCCGTAATTAAATTAACGTAATATAGTAATTTACCGTTTTTTGTAGTTTTCATTCCAATAGTAGAAGTAGTTCCCAATGTCGTAGAGTGGAATATTTTTTCTTCTTTCTGTTACAGCGTACTCTGTCCCACAGCCGCATTCAGAATACTTGCGATAACCACCATTTGCGCATTGCAGGTTCTCTGGAAATCTGATGCCAAGAGTAATTACTGTTTCGGTAGCTATAACAACGCAGACGGCGAGTAGACATGAATGTACGCATGCGAGCATCACGTATATATATGTAAGTGTTACTAATACACGGCACACAGTGGGACACAAGTGATCAACGTACGCCTTATCAACCTACTTGGCGCTCACACTGTGTTACGGAGTGATACATTGGAGTTAGTGACATTCGCGAACTCCTGTTATATGTGCTTTCGGTGTATATTTAAATCGTGTATAACACCAGATGAGTTTTGGACCCGAGGAATATGGTCACAACTTCGCGCCCTCAGATTCATTGACAATTGCCGGCTAATAAATAAACTGTTATAAGCTTGTCGATAAAATTAAATCACAGTTTAATCCAGATGATACCGGTCCATCCGATTTACATCAAAAGACGAACGACCCAGGTCACATAGTGACACACCCTGACGCCCACACAAAGTCATCGACTTACTTCGCTGCAGACATTCCGATCATATTTAGAAGTTGCTTTCACTTTATAACCACAAACCTCACATAGAATGGCTTTTATATTGTAATTACGAAGTCAAACGAAAAAATAAAAACATCACTAGTTGGAAACATTTTCGCTGTTGTCACGTATACTTGCATAACTGTCATATAATTGTTTTTTTTGTTTTTTTTTTTGTTCTGGTAATGTTGGTTTTCTTTATTAACATCAACGATATCTCTAGTATGTTTCATATTTATAGGAGTTTGATCTCTGAGATCATGAGATTATGGAGATCACTTCCGTGTCAAGTCTAATTAACAGCTTCCATCACGTTCTGGCAAAGACGTTGTCATCGGCTTATAAATCAATACACAGCCACAACTTGGATATATGTAAATATAAATATTATACAATTATGATTATGAATAGCGATTACCGACCAGCACAACTGACTTAGGTGTATCGTGCTTGCCTACACTTTATAGAAGTATCAGTACATTTCCGAGTTGTGTACATTTGAAAATGAACAAAATCAAATTTACTTTAGTTACTAGGACTGTGTGGTGTTAAATAAAATTCCATTGTCATGTTCAATTTCAATTTTCATTTTCACTTCACGTTGAAACATGGTAGAATTCACGCCCAGTGAAAATACGTGTCTTTATCACGGACTGAGTGCTTCGGTTGGGGAGGTTCGCCCTCTTTTCTTGGTGTGTTGTTCGTCGTCATGCTGTAACTTCGACTCCCATCCCATTGCGACGTTAGGGAATACATATTTGCTTGGATTGATTATTAAAAACAAGAGGTAAGGGGTATCTGCGTCTTTGCGATTGGATATGATCTTTGTTTTAATAGCGGTGTATAACCGTGTACCTTGCAGCAAACAGTGGGAATTCCCGTTTTATAAAAAGCACCGTTCATACTACGCATGCGCATGTACCGTAGCGATTTCAAATGATTCGCCACACCCTTTTTAGGGCTGACTATATAAATGGGTTCATATGGTATGGTGCCGTACATAATCAGAGCGTGGAGGTAAACAGATATGTTTTACCTCCATGGTGTGCCCAAGTGAGATAGGAGTATCAGGATACTAGTATGCAAGTATCTGTTCACGCACAGTCCGAACCCATGCTTAGGAAATTACTTGTATTCTGGGTATTCAAAAACGTTTCGAGCAAAATGCCATGGCAACTTATATCATGATGCTTGTTATGACTTGTTGGTGTCTATCGGCCTTGTTTGACATTTGTTTCACATTGCTACCCGGGAACAAAGGATCACACAGTAATTATGCACACACTCTGAAAGTGGGATTTCCCCCTGGTAGTCACGTGCTTGAATTGTAATCTCGGTGGTGCGTCATAGAACGTTACTCATTGATGGCAGTCACTCAAGCCAAAAGTGTGGAAATGCAGAACCACGTGCAGGGTTCATATATTTAGACGTTAAATAATTGCATTCGTTGAAAATATTAAAATAGTATGATATTGCATGCATGGTTTGTTAATGTGATGGTGAGTGTATACCTATATAAAACTCGGTATTTTGAGGCAATGATGACATGGTGGTTTTTTCCAATCATGCTATTTATAGCTTTTATTGTACGATAGTCAAGCTTGCTTTATTTGAAGCTTTACGTCGTCCGGTATTGACCTGTTTCCACGTCGAAGTCGAAGCGCTTAAAATGACCCCTTGGTTGAGTTTGCTATACTTGTACATGATTGTGATTGTGGTCGTAATAGATCTAACGATGTCGTCCGTCATTCGAGTTCCGATATCAGGCTGCAAAGACGGATATTTCGTATATAAGATACCACCTGGGATTTACCGTAACAAGGACGGCAGCGACCAATCTGTTTATCCTGGGGCCATGTGCCGAGCCTGCTCAGTATGTCCGGATGGTGCGGCAACACTATCGCCATGTTCGCAGACCGAGGATACAGTATGCGGCGGATGCGTAAAGCAAGGTTACGTATTCGATGAAGGCACGAAGTCTTGTCAGCCCGAATACATTATAAAAGGTCAGGCAGAACCAGAAAAACATTTTGGTTTGAACGAGTTTGGCGAAACTGCTTCGATAAACGCACCATTTCTCGCTGACTATGAAGATGGCGGCACTGGTGTAAGCGCGTCTTCGGTGGAGATGCTTCTCGGCGCTGCAGCGACTCTGTTTGCTGTCGTTGCTACGACAACAGTTGTACTCATCGTCGTGTGCGTTGTAAGTACGATCAAGCAGATAAAGACGGGAAAAAGAAAAAATGAACAAGGTAATATCTTTCTCTCGATGACCGATATCTATCAATATTGGATCGAGATTGATAAACAATTTTTAAAATTTGCATCGTATAGTACAGAGAAATCAGAATTACAAAATACAAGCTCCATGTTTGTTGTTCAAACCTTCCAGACTCTTGCAAACAGAAAATGGTCGCCTAAGAAAAACTATGGTTTGGACTACTTCATTTAACGTATGCGGAAAACAACTGCCACGCACATTATAATTGAATTATTCATTGTTAGGTTGTGGCGAAATATCAGTAAAACAGTAACAAAAACAAAAACAGTAATAAAAAACAGTATTGCAAAAAAATGGCTTATATTCATTGAAAATATTCGTAGAAATGTGTTCCTCGAGTCGTTTTTTACTCGGACATCACTAGTGAGTTCGCGATATACATTTTCGGCAGAGCTTTTGGAAAAAAACGCTATTTTTTCTGTTACAAATAGCCACCGTGACGCAACAATTTCGTTACCATTAACAACACCCATTGCACAATAGTGAAACCGAAACGTACTTTGCGCATGCGCATTCTATTCAACATACTCTTTCCAAACATACGAAAAAACGTCATCGGCAAATATTTGGGCCAGACAAGATGATGGGAAAAAACGACTTTGTCACATTTACCATTCAGCGAAACCAAGCATGAATATATTGTCAAGATGTCTGCCAACTTTAATATATATTTATTTTGTTTGACAGAATGTAAAACCGAAACACAGTTCGAGCAAGTCTATCTAAAGTTACCACTATCAGAAAGAGTTTTATGACGTCATAGCTTTATCAGTATTATCACACGATAATGTAAACGAGTTATCGCAAGTAAATTCATTTAAACAAAAAGTTTAATTCTGATGACGGTGATTCATAACAGCAATTATAATGAACCCCACTAAGTCGTATTGAATTCGGAGAAAGGTATAGACGCGATAAATAGGAAATCAGACTAGACTAGCAGTAAGCTATTTTCTGATTTCCTTTTTACTCAATATATATGTGTATTTTTCTTACCATTTGTTTTTCTGTATGGCTTACTTTTGGTTGTTTTTTGTTTTTTCAGTGTTTCTTATTGTTATTATTATTGGGTAAATAAATAAATGATTATTAAATATTACAATGCACTCGGCTTCGCCTCACACATTGTCTTGCCATACCCCGTCTTCTCATTCAATACGTAACAATCACGTTACACATGGATGCCAATAATATGGTGACAATTACCAAAATCTCATCAGTTATGTTTTTTTTTTTACTTTACAGACAAACATGTAACGTCAAAAGACAAGAAAGGCGTAGTAAATGTGAACTTCACTGAGAATGAAGAAGAAACCATCGTCTGTCCTCTTTACACTGCCAATGGCGACGCTGCGTCAACTTCCAAAAAGGGGGGCGACGAAAAGCCTTGGAACAGCCTCCTGGGCGATGAAAGAACTCCTAAAACAATATGACTTTATTTACACTGAGTTTTACACGTATTACACAGGTTCACTCCTTGTTCATTCTATAGATGTAATACTGGTCAATAAAAATGCGCTAGCTCAGACGACACTGTAAAAATTATGTATCTTTATTCGAAAATGTTGTCTTTCTACCTGTATATACGAGGCAGAGATATACTATTTGAAATTTATTGAATAATAATAATAATAATAACAACAATAATAATAATAATAATAATCAGCAACTTGAATGTAGTTGAGGGTATTTTTTTCCTGTTAGCATTCCGATTATTTTGTTGAAAATTAGTGTTGATCTGTACGTTTGACATGATGCGTGTACCAACCTAAATATACTGCCATTTCGTTAAATCGCAGTGGTCGTCGCGCAGCTAGCCTGACAAGTT